CTCCAGCTGTGACCTTGTTCACCCTCCGAGTCTTCCAGGCAGGAGAGCGCTGAGGGCGACCGGCCATGTGCGAGGAGGGCCCCGCCTTCCGCTTCCGCGACAGCCGCCGCCACGCACACCCGCGGCCCTAGAGCCAGCGACGGGGCTTCCCTTCGAGGCCTGTCGGGGCAGCGTCGCCGTGAACCCACCGTGCAGTCTGGTCGTGCAGAAGCAGCAGGTGGTGTTCGACTGAGGACGCACGGAGCCTGGACACAGGTCTGTGCGGGGACACCCCACGAGTGGGAGCACAGGCAGGAAAGATCCGCTTGTGACCGGCCCCTTCACTTCCTGAGCGAGTGGCTGCCGTCACGGTGGGCGCGGGAGCCCCTATCGGCGGAGCTGCGGCCTCGGGAAACGCCGGCCATCGCACCAGTGCAGTCAGGGACACTGTCCCCGGGGACCCCGGCTGGCGGCGAGTGACAAGGAAGAGTCACGCTTTCAACACGGAGATGAGCGTCGATCCCTGCGGAGACTCGGGAACAGGCTGAGGCTGTCCCCATTGCGTTCCTGTCGATGAACAGGCCGCGAGCCGAATGCTGAGCCCCAGGTGGTGGCACTGACTGGGAGCGTGATAGGTTTCCCTAGTCCCGCAGTTGCCGCGAGCCCAGCAGCTGGGCGGCGTCGGGGCGCTGGGGGAGGCTGTGCGCAGGGGACGGCGCGTCGGGCACGGTGACTGCGCGGAGCGTCCTGGAGTAGCTGCTCGGGCAGCGGGTCCGCGTGCGACGGTGGGCACCGCAGCCCAGGCAGGAGGTGGGCTGGGTGACTGTACCCGCTGGCGCGGCCGCTGAGAATCGTGTCCGCTCTGAGCATGACGGGGGCGGTCCTCAGTGCGGCCCGCGCCTGGGCCAGCCTCCCGGGACACTGCAGAAGCTCTCACAGCGGAACGTAGAGCGGACGCTTGATAATTGTAGCTTAATCGTGCTCCGATGCGTCAAAATCAGTTGTTTTCCTGTAACCTAATTACGGCCATTCAGCCCCTTCTGAACTCTCGTAGGCAGACGAATGGCTAAGAGGGAAACGAGGTGGTTGGGGGGTGAGTGGTTTGCGGATTGACTGTGGGGTGCTTGGGGCGCGGGGCGCAACTAGGCCGGCCGGTGGGGGTGCGACGGGCAGCGGAGCGTGCGGGTCCTGTTGGCGGGACAGCTCCCACGCGGGCTGGGTCACCCTGTGTAGACACGCGCGCGCCACAGGCTGCGGCGGCGGCAGCCATGGGCTGAGCGCCGGGGAACAGCGCTGGGGCGAATTTGTTCTTCGTTCCGATTGTACCGGAACGGGTGGGCTGGAGGTCAGGGCGGCGCTTACAGCAAAACAGCCAGGGCCTCGCCGGTGATCCACACCCACGGCACGTGGGTGCCGGGCGGCGACCTCAACTCTAAAGTGGAGACGGGAGCGGAGCGCGCTGTGCGGCTGACGCAGAGAGCGCGCTGCCGGGGAGGCAGGGCGGTAACTGCCCGAACCCGTAAGAGCCGAGGCGGTAGGCGGCGCCAGGTCCGAGGCTGCGCTCTGAGGCCCTTGCGGGGCGTGACGTCGTCCCGCAGCGTGCGCTCCCTCGGGGCGTCCTCAGGAAGCCTGGGGGCGGGCGGGGCTGGAGGCGAGGCCTCTGTGCTGAGCTGTCCCGGAGGCAGCACTTGCTGGGGGGCGGGGGCCACCGCCTGTGGGGGTCACCAGCCACCTGGCTAAGGTGTTGGGGCTGGACTCGAGGAGACCAGTGACGCTTCTGAGTTGGGAACAGGGACTAGTCAGCCCTGGAGCCATTTTGCAACTGGTGGTGTGTGACGACGCCTCAAGGTCACTGGTGCAGGGGGCGCGCGTTCGTCGCCGCGCCGGCACTGCCAGCGCCGCGCGGTCAGACGCAGCCACGCTCCGGGCTGGGGGTGCCCGGCGGCCGCGGGGCTCCTGTGGTGGCCGCGGCTTGGTCAGCCCTGCTCTGCGCCAGGCGCTACCACTCAGTCCAGGCTGACGAGGCGGGGGCGCGCAGGCCTGCGTCACGGCCCCTGCGGGTTGGAGGGCAGTCGCTCCGTGAGAACAAGAACCGGCATAGCCGCTGTGGCTGTGCCGACCTTTAATGCAGACAGTGACCCCTCGGGGTAGGTGAGTCAGCGCGGCCACTTAGCCACAGGGCCAGTAGGAAGATAATCGCTAGTGGTCACTTCACGTGGGGCGTCAGTGCCACCAACCACGTCTCTCCGGGCCGCGTGGTTTGGACTGGAAGCTCAGCCAGACCGCAGGAGACGGCGGGCGGCCGCACAGAGCGCCCTCGGCCCGCCCGGTGAAGGGACGGGCGGGGGCCCTGGGATGTTTCGTTGGGCCCAGCACAGGCCTGCGGCCAGGCCGCGAGAAGCGGCAGTTCCTGCTGTGAGCGGTCATGCCGGATCTTCGGTCAGTAATTCGGTAGCCTGTCTAAAAGGCTGTACCTTTTCACCTAGGTATTTAAATATCTATTAAAATTGTTACTTTTAGGAAAATTTAAATTTAAAATGAAAGTCTATTCTGGACAACCGGCTGTCACGCGGTGCGGGGACCCCCTGGCCTGGGCGGCACCTCACCAGGCCACGCAGGCGCGTTCGCTCCGGAGGCCGGTTGGGTTTCAGGTGTTTCCGCTTCGTTACACGGCTCCAGTTAAATCGCTGCAGCCTGGCTCGTTATAAGAAGAGCAATTGGAAGGGAATTTGAATACCTATGTGACTAGATACGTAAATACAGCTTTAATGTCATTTTTAAAATTTTTACTTCAACGACGGCGGTGTTGAACAGCTGGGCTCGGTTCCTGAATGCTCAGCGGCCATCTGTCATGAGATGACCGCTCCGCTCGCCCGCGGGCTCACAGGACTCGGTGGGGGCAGCTTCCGCGACCCCTCCCGGCTCGGGGGCTCCACGCGAACGGTGAGGCCTCCCGGGTCCTGTCCCGCCCTCCGGGCCGTCTGTCCCCAAGTGGAATCGGACGCCCTCACTTCCCAGGTCCCCGCAGCAGCACCCCAGTTTTTCTCTGGGACCGTTAACCAGGGTACACACAGGAGGCCGGGGAGGGTGGTGCGCCCTGGCGTCCTGCCCACCAGGTGGCGGCTGGTGCTGGGCAGGCGACGGCAGCCGGCGGGGGGCCCGAGGGGCCCCTGCTCCGGGGGAGGCGGGAGCTGCGTGGGGAAGGCCGGTGTTGGGAGGGACACACAGGCCTCGTCGTTTTAACAAGTTCCCAGCATTTGAGGCCGAGGTCCCACAGAAGAGTCTGAGTATTGCTCGCTTCTCCAGAGACGTGCGGCCCCCTCCAGACGGTTCTCAGTGGTCAAGACAGAAGGGGGGGGACTCAGGAGGCGCGCGAATGGCAGAGTGACCGAGGCACAGGCCCGGCGCGAGGCCACGGGGAGGACGTCGGGGGGCACCCGGGAGGCCACGAGCAGCTCCGGGGCTCCGGACGGGGCAGAGTTTGCTCTACACCCTGTCCCTGTGGCTGTGTGGAGGCGCACGGACTCGAAACCCACCTGGTGTGGCCACAGGGCGGGGCTCGGCTTACACACGGGAACAGAGGGGCGGGGAGGGGTGGGGGACCCTACGGACCCTGGCTGATGCGCGGAGCCCGCCTTTCTGCAGGCCCTGGCGGAACCCGGCACGGTGACGGGTCCCTGGCCTGCTCGGGGACGGGGGCAAGGGCGACAGGGATGGGGCCTGGGGGGCGTAGGGCAGTCCCACCGGACGCTGGCCCAGGCGCGTGGCGGAGGTGCCCAGGGTCCCGTCCGGGCTGCTCTCCATGCCGGGCCATTCGCAGCAGGGGCTGAGGGGCTGACCTTCCGGCTGGCACCTGTGGGGGACGCGCATGTGGACTTCCGGGGGCGGCTGGCCCAGGACCCACCGTCCAGGCGTCTGTGCGTCCCACAGCCTTCCCCGCCGTCAGCGCACGCCCACGGAGACCCCGGCACAGGGCTGCTGGGGCCCCCGGCCTCGCAATGCAGGGTCGAGCGAAGAAATGAGGTGCTGCATCCTGAGGTCAGGACCCTGCCCTGCGGGGGCCGAGGGCGGGCCTTCGGCAGACAGCCGGTGGAGACCCCAGCACGAAAGGCCCAGGATGGGGACTGTGAAGGCAGAGGGGACGCAGCCCGTGAGGTCCCTGGGCGCCAAGGACACGGGATGAGTGGGCACAGGGGGTGGGGCCATGCCACCAGGAGCCACCAGGACTCCAGGGCAACTGGGGTCTCCAGAGCCAGTCCCTGCCTGTGGCAGTGGGGGCTGCAGAGGACCCGAGGGGCTGGCAGGCAGGGAGCCACACAAGGGGCGACCCTGGGGCAGGAGGGGGCGGTCCCAGGCCTCGCGTCACCAGCCAGAAGGCCGGGGCAGGGAGTGGCTGTGACCCAGTGGGGCCTGGAGCCGACCCGCCTTTGGGCGTGGGCTGAGGCACTGGAGACGCAGGGGTGGGGGGAGCCCCTCGGAGCCTGGACGGCAGCCTGGGGCCGGGTGGGGGTGTCCAGGGCAGGGGCAGGCCGGGCCTCGAGGGGCATGTCACTAAATGGTCACTCCCGGCCTGCTTTGCTGAGACCACAAAGGGCCTGGCACCCAGGAAACACTGAGTCTGCCTCCTTCTCTACGCCCTGGAGCTGGCTGCCAGGTCATTGCTTCTCAAGCTCCTGGCGGCCAACTCCGGGTCTCAGTGACACTTGTCCACTGGCCCCGCGCGAGGCCAGCAGCAGGCAGGGAGTGGCAGGCGGTGGCCGAGGCTGGAGGCCTCGCCTCCCCGCAGGTTCCCAGGGCTGCGGGGCCGGGCGGCAGGAGCCTGGGGCTGGGGTAGAGCCCACGGTGGGGGCGCCATCCACGGGGGCTGGGGGAGGGGCGCACAGGCGATGCCACCCAGGGCCCGGTGGGCAGGTGCATGCGTGCATGTGTGCTTCACGTGTGACAGTTCATGTGCAGGCGCTGCTGGGGTCAGACAGATGTGGAGGTGTGAACACGGACCCACTGGGGTGCCGGTCCCGCAGGTGCTGCTGTGGTCAGCCCACAAGGTGTTTGAGGAGCTGACAGACATCGAGAGGCAGTTCCACAAGGCCTTCTACACGGTGCGGGCCTACCTGAACTGCGAGCGGTACTCCGTGGGCCTGCTGGACATGACCAAGGAGAGGGTGAGGCCGCAGCTCCTGGGGCTCCTGGCCAGCCCGCCCCGGGGGTGGACCACTGACCCTCTTCCTCGCTCCTCTGCCCAGGAATTCTTCGACGTGTGGCCTGTTCTGATGGGAGAGGCCCAGCCATACTCAGGCCCACGCACACCCGACGGCCGTGTGAGTCATGGGGGGGGGGCAGGGCGCAGGCTCCCAATCCAGGGCAGGAAGGGGCCCGGCCCGGCCCGGCCCAGCCCGGCCCAGGAGGGCAGCGTGCGGGAGCCGGGAGCCAACGCCTCGTCTCCCCGAGGTTCCCGTGGGGCGCTGGCCCGCGAGCCCTCACCGCTGCTGTGTCGGTCTCTCAGGAAATCCTCTTCTACAAAGTCATCGACTACATCCTCCACGGCAAGGAGGACATCAAGGTCATCCCGTAAGTGCCAGGGTTTTACCAGAAGCACCGCCGTGCTGTGGGCGCCACACCATGGCGGGGGGCACTGACCCGCCGACCTGGGAGCCGAAGGGGGGCCAAGCAGGGAGGTGACGGCTGCGGCTCCGTGAGCATCGCGGCGGCCGCCCCGGGGACCCAGCGAGCTGCGAGGGTGGCCCTGTCAGCAGCGGGTCACCTGGGCTCCTGAGCCTCCCAGCAGGTGGAGACCCTGGGACCGCGGAAGGGGAGTGTGGACACGTGCGCCCGGCGCGATGGGACAGCCGGGGACGTCCAGCCCCGTGAGCAGCGCAGTGGGCGGGGCCCAGGGCAGGACTCCAGCCTGGAGAGACGGGTCCCAGCCGGGCAGCCACGTGGCCCTGTGCCCTGCCAGCCTGCAGCAGCCCCCACAGGTCCCACGCAGGGACTGGCAGCCACGGGTCAGAGCCAGGCCCCAGGGCGGGGCACCAAGGCCCAGCTGTGGAGGCCGGAGGGGGGACGAGGTGCCCCTACCCCCCGCCCATCAACCCCATGCCACCCGGAGCCCAGAGAATGGAACAGACGTGAACAGCCAGACTGCGCCGCAATCCCCCCCGCCCCACGCACACACGTCGCCCCGCACGTGTCCGGTCCACCTGGCTCTCTGCTTCTCTCCCCAGCACGCCCCCAGCGGATCACTGGGCCCTGGCCAGCGGCCTTCCGACCTACGTGGCGGAGAGTGGCTTTGTGAGTCCCCGAGACCCTGCCCTCGCACCCCGGCCGTCCCGCCGGCTCCCTGCTCCCACGTTGCCAATGAAGACGCCCCCCGGGCTGGACCGTCGGCGCCAGGGCCATGCTGTCCACTCGGCTGCTTCCGCTGAGACCGTTTTCTGATCCTTCCCAGATCTGCAACATCATGAACGCCCCTGCTGATGAAATGTTCATGTTCCAGGTATCTGTCTGTCAATAGAACGTGCACTGCAGTTAGGAAATCAGGTTCAGAAATGGGGGTTTGAATGGGTTTTGATGCTTAAGAAACAACCTCAAAATCTCGGATACAAACAACAGCAAACACATATTTTGCACTCACGTGTGTGTGGGTTTGCTGGGTGCAGCTGGACCCCAGCCAGGGCTCCGGTCTGCTCCCCACGTCTTCTTGGGGGGCCATGTGACCAGGGCTCTTTCAGGAGGAGGCCGAGGGTCCGTTGTGCCGGTGGAAGTGGGCTTTGCCTCTGAGGCCTCTGGGAGCCGGCCCGTGCCCGTACTTCAACGGCCGGGCGTCGGTGGCACCAGGGCAGGCCCAGCTGCGTGGCCCGTGGGACCCTGTGTGACGAGGCGCTGGCCCAGCGTGGCTGCCCTGCCCCCGTGGACAGACCGCAGGGGAGCGGTGGCCCTGGGCTGCCCCCGAACAGCAGCTCCTCTGGACGCCGTCCCTGCAGGGAGGCCCCCTGGACGAGGCCGGGTGGGTCATCAGGAACGTCCTGTCCTTGCCCATCGTCAACAAAAAGGAGGAGATCGTGGGGGTGGCCACGTTTTACAACAGGAAGGATGGGAAGCCTTTTGACGAGCAGGATGAAGTCCTCATGGAGGTAAACACCTGTCACGGGCACGGCTCCGGTGACAGGATCTGCTCTCGCCCCTGACCAGCCCTACGCCGGGGGCGTGGGGACGAGGGCGCGCAAGGTCCCATCCCGGAGCTCCCTGGCGGGCACCCTGCCCCCCGCACCAGAGCGCTCACGGCTCTGGGCGCCCGCACACCTGGGCGGCAGGCGCACTGGGCAGGTGACGCGCCGCGCCCTCCGCAGTCGCTCACGCAGTTCCTGGGCTGGTCAGTGCTCAACACCGACACCCACGACAAGATGAACAAGCTGGAGAACCGCAAGGACATCGCCCTGGACATGGTCCTGTACCACGTGCGCTGCGACAAGGATGAGATCCAGCTGATCCTGGTACTGCTCCGCGGCCCTGGGCTCCTCCCTGCCCCAAGGGGACGCACGGCTGGCCGTGCGTAGGGAGGGGCCAGCGCCCTCTGGCCACGCTGGGTGAGGGCTCCGCCATCAGCAGAGGCTGGGACAGGCAGGGGTGGGAGCCGCCGCGCACACTCTCACTTCTCTCCGAAACCAGGGGCCCGGCCGGGGCCTCCGCCGCGAGCGCTGCTCCCTCGTGCCAGACGTCACCGTGCCCCACAGTCCCGAGGGTGTCGGCCACACTGTCACCATCTCGTAACATCTGTGTTCTCTCTCAGCCTACAAGGGAGCGCCTGGGGAAGGAGCCGGCTGCCTGTGAGGAGGAGGAGCTGGGGGAAATCTTGGTCAGAGCCTGACCCCCACCCTGGGGTGGAGGCTGGAAGGGCCTGCGGGTGGGGGCAGACCTCTCTCCCCGCTGAGTGGGCCCAGGCACAATGTGGCCCTGCGACGCGGGTGCCATCTGTGCACCACGTGCCCGTCACGCGTGTGCCTGTGCACCTTTCCACGTGCACATCTTGGCGCTTGTTTCCCTGACAACAGCGCTGCGCCTGCCCAGTTAGGCAAGTTCCCGTTGTTGAGGGTGTGAGGAGAAGGGAGGAGGGGGCTGAGCCACTGGGGACCGTGTGCCAGGCTACAGGCCGCAGCCACTAGAAGGGCGGACGCCCGCAGACACCTGAGGCATCTGAGCTGGATCGAGGGTCCAGGAGGAGAGGAGCCAAGGAGCCAGTGGGGTTTGGGGGCCTGCCCCCTCAGCCCCACAGTCCCTCCCACAGAAGGAAACGTTGCCGGGGCCCAGCCAGTTTGACATCTACGAGTTCCACTTCTCCGACCTGGATTGCACGGAGCTGGAGCTGGTCAAGTGCGGCATCCAGATGTACTACGAGCTGGGCGTGGTCCGCAAGTTCCAGGTCCCCCAGGAGGTGAGGGGTCCCGGGTCCCGGGTCCCCAGGAGGGGAGGGGTCATGGTCCCGGGTCCCGGGTGCTGCAGGAGGTCGGGGGCAGGCACGTCCATCCCAGAAGGTGTGGGCCGGTGTCACACAGGCAGCGAGTCGGCCGGGAAGAGGCAGCTGCAGAGAGAGGGGACGTCGGGGCAGTGGGAGTTGAGGCAGGCGGTCGCTCAGCACGGGGGTCCCGCGTGGGGCGGAGAGGAGAGCCCTGCGCGGGGCAGAAAGCACGGCTCTGCTTGGGTTCCCGCTGCCCGGCGGTTCCATATTACTAGATACTAAAGAAAACACAAAAGAAAAAATTACCAAAAATGGCAACAAAAAAAATTATTTCCAAATAACTTTCCAGTCCTCCAAGGCACAGCGACGGGAGGCGCCCCTGGGCCCCACACTCTGTTGTCCGGGGCGCTGCCCCGGTGGCCTCTCCACCTCTGGCGCCCCGGGCACCGGCCCCTGCCCCGCCGCACACACCCAGTGCCCAGAATCTCACCCAACTCCCAAGCCCGAAGCGGGCGTTTCCTTGTGAAACACCCCAGACCCCTCACTTGGGTCCTCCTCCCAGTTCGGGGCTGGGCGAGAGGCTGGAGGCCCCGGGAGCCCCGCAGCGGGCGCGGCCGGTCCTGGGACCGAGGGCGTGGCGGTGGGCAGCCTGCCAGGACACGGGCGGGAGTCACGTCTCCCGACCTCCCGCAGGTCCTCGTGCGGTTCCTGTTCTCCGTGAGCAAAGGCTACCGCAGGATCACCTACCACAACTGGCGCCATGGCTTCAACGTGGCACAGACCATGTTCACGCTGCTCACGGTGTGTGGCCGGGCGGGCGGCGCCTCCCCCTGACTGGGGCAGGGGGCGTCCTGGTTGCAAGGGCAGCCCCCAGCTGGCGCCGAAGGTGGCTGGGAGGGCCCTCGGGGCAGGCCCGGCGACCCACACCCATCCCTGGAGCCAGGACCAGAGGCGGCAGGGCCTGGGTGCCTGTCTCTGCAGACGGGGAAACTGAAGAGCTACTACACGGACCTGGAGGCCTTCGCCATGGTGACCGCGGGCCTGTGCCACGACATCGACCACCGCGGCACCAACAACCTGTACCAGATGAAGTAGGCGCGCGGGTCTGCCGGGTGTCGGGCACAGCTGCCAAGAGGCTGCGCACAGCCCGGCAGGGGCAGCGGGCCCCTCCTGGCCGCGCTAGGGGCTCCTGACGCCAGTTGTTTCTCCGTGACCTGGGCAGGTCCCAGAACCCCTTGGCCAAGTTGCACGGTTCCTCGATTCTGGAGCGACACCACCTGGAATTCGGGAAGCTCCTACTGGCGGAGGAGGTTCGGTGCCCCAGTCGCTGGCCGTGGCCCCACCCGGCTGACCACCGCTGTCGCCGTCCCCCGCCCGTCCCTCAAGTGCGGGTCCACCCCAGGCGGCCTCCAGGCCCCAGGGCCGCCTCCGGGCCTAGAGTCCCCACTGTGAGCGCGCACGCGCGCCCCAGGGGTCGGAGGGCACGCAGTCCAGCTGGGCCGCGTGGGTTTCATCCTGGGGATCTGTGCCGAGAGGTGGCCGCGACCCCCGCCCCAGGGCGGGAGTCCCTGAGCCCGCGCCCCCGCCCCCGCCCCCGCCCCCAGGGCCTGAACATCTACCAGAACCTGAACCGGAGGCAGCACGAGCATGTGATCCACCTCATGGACGTCGCCATCGTGGCCACGGACCTGGCGCTCTACTTCAAGTGGGCGGCCTGCGGGGCGCCTCTCCCGGAAGGGCTGCGGGGTCGGGACGCGCAGGTGGCCGGGGCCTGCGTGGGGTGACGGGGAGGTCGACTCTGCCCTCGTTCTCGGGGTTCAGGAAGAGGACGATGTTCCAGAAGATCGTGGACGAGTCCAAGAACCACAAGGACCGTGCGAGCTGGGCGGAGTTTCTGTCACTGGAGACGACGCGGAAGGAGATAGTGATGTGGGCGTGGGGGCGGACGCGGGCGGGGCTGGGCGGGGGCGGGGGCGCCTCTCGCTCGGGGCTTTTTCGCCTCTGAACTAGGGCTCCGTCTGGGCCCGGTTTCAGGGAGACGCCGGGGTCCGGGGTCCGGAGTCGGGCAGGCCGGCTCCTTAGCTTGCGGGTCTCGGCCACGGTGTTCGCGCTGCAGGAGCCTCTGTCCTGCGTCTGCAAAGTGGGGGTTCGGGTTCTCCCGGGGCCGCCCCAGTAGCCGGTCAGGAGGCATGTGGTACCGGCGCGCATGGGGGCGCCGGAGAGCCGCGGGCGACCTCCGTGTAAATGTGGGGGCGCGGCGGGCGCGGGGCCCCGACGAGGGGGGCCCCGTGGGCTGCCCCCAGCTCCCTCTGCTCACAGGGCCATGATGATGACGGCCTGCGACCTGTCCGCCATCACCAAGCCCTGGGAGGTCCAGAGAAAGGTCAGAAGCCCCGGGGGTGCTGCACGGGGCGGGGGGGCGGGGGGGGGCAGCCTGGCACGGAGGGCGGACCGCAGGCTGGGGACGCTGCCCTGCCCTGGGGCCGGCGCCCACGGCTGCTGCGGCAGAGGGTGCCCCTGCGCGCTGGTCGGTGGATCGGCCTATACGGGCGCTCTTAGGGGTGCCGGGTAGAGAAGGCCGAAGGCACCGAGCCTCCCTCCGGGTTCTGGGCAGTTTGTGGCCAAGCGCTGAACTCTGGCTGGTGACTTCCCTTCCCGTGCCCGCAGGTCGCTCTGCTGGTGGCGGCTGAGTTCTGGGAACAAGGGGACTTGGAAAGGACTGTCCTGGATCAGCAGCCCATTGTGAGTGTGGCTTCCAGAATCGTCTGCTCCCAGCGTGGTCCTTGAGAGCCTTGGTCCTGACTTGGTGCCGACAGTGGGCCCCAGGGATCCTGACGGCCGGCCCCAGCTCACTTCGTGTGTCACATGACGTGCGCCACGCCTGAGGTCAGGCGCTCGGGATCTGGGCCAGGCGGCGGTGCCCAGGCCGAGGTCGCCACGGGCAGAGCTGCCCAGGGGACACGGCTGGGCCGTCAGCGGCCCTGGGAGGCCCAGGCAGGACGGCCGGCAGCACGTGGAAGAGACGGAAAGAGGGTCCGTCTCACCGGTCACCTCCAGCTGGTGGAGCCGCCTGAGCACAGGGCTGAGGAGGCCGTGGGCTGACGGCAGGGAAGGGTCCCTGACCAACCGCAGGGTCTCCTAGGAGGACGCAGCGGTTTGTGTCCTCCGGGCCGGCCTCCAGGCTCCTGCCGGGCTCCCCCGCTGAGCCCCGGCCAAGAGTGACTGGGAAGAAGAGGCTGGCAGAAGGAGGCTTGGGGGGTCCAGAGCGTGTGAACACCAAGGGGAGCGGGCCGAGCTTACCTGGGTTTTGCCCCATGGGGAGCCCCGGGTCCTTGTTCAGCACCAGGGAGAACGCTAGAGGGAAGAGCAGGTCCAGGAGCCTGGGGGAGCCGGGGAATCAGGCCCGGGGGCTCTGTGGGGCGTGAGGCCAAGGGCTCCACCCTCCTCCTGTGCGTCTCTGTGAGCGTGTTCATCTGAGCTGGGCAAGGCTGAGGGTGTCCTGGTGCTTGAAAGACGCGAGGGCTTGCCTGCCCCAGCCCTTCAGTGTGTCCCTGCCCCCGCACAGCCGATGATGGACCGGAACAAGGCGGCCGAGCTCCCCAAACTGCAGGTTGGCTTCATCGACTTCGTGTGCACCTTCGTGTACAAGGTGAGTGGCGGCGTGGGGCCTGCTGGGCCGCAGGAGGAGGGGCCGGCGGGGCCGCGAATCGCCCAGTGCCTCCGGCCTCTGCGCACCCGCACTGAAGTCCAAAATCTTCCCTGGGACCCCCGGCGGGGCCCTCCGGCCTCCACCGCCCCCGCCAGCTCCTCCAGCGTCCTCGCGGTCACCTCGAGGCCTCGCCTCAAATGTCCCCCAACCCCACCTGGGCGCGCCCCACGGCCTGCACACTGTTCTTGGGGCGTGGACCGCTGGTGCGTCTGCGGGCGCACTCGTCAGCGTCTCTGATCTCTGGAGCGTGGGCGGGGCCCCGTCACAGGGGGTGTGCTTCACCCAGCTAAAGCGCACGCTGCGCGGCTGACAAGCGACACTCGGACACCGAAGGCAGGGGGCTGTCACCGCTCGGGAGGTGGCCAGAGCCTGAGGGGCCCGGGCTGCACGGCCCACCCCCGTGGCACCGGCTCGCCGGGGCCCCACCCTGCCTCCCGGGCTGCGGCGCTGGCCCGCACTTGAGGTTCAGCGCAGCTGTCACAGCCGGCCCAGCCCCCACCTCGGCCGCCGGCTGCCCCCCTCTGAAACCGCAGGCCCCTCTGGCCTCCACAGCTGAGGCGCTGGGGGCGGGGGGGAGGCAGGGCCAGGACGAGCTCCCGGTCCTGGCGTCCCAGGTCCCAGCCGCGCGGCTCGTGCCTGACAGCACCCAGGTGCCCATAGCGCACGTGTTCATGTGCATGTGTGATGCGTCACAGGCGTCGCATGTATGAGACAGGGGGAGCGCAGGACCCCATGTTCCTCCGTCCCCACGCGCAGTGTCCTCTCTGCCCTTGGGCTCCTGGCCCCGTGCATCACAGGCGTTCACGCCTCCAGCTCCCATTCTGACCATAAAACACAAAGCCCTTCTCCCCTTCAGGGCTTTGCTGGTTTGTGGCATCTCAGCGGCCCTGCCTCCTCTCCGCCTGGCGGCCCTCAGAGCAGACCCAGGGCCAAGGCGTGACGTGCGACCTGCCCCGTCCCCCAGGCGCGGTGGGGGCCTGACTCTCGGGTGCCTTCCAGGAGTTCTCCCGTTTCCACGAGGAGACCCTGCCCATGCTGGAGCGGCTGCAGGGCAACAGGCGGGAGTGGAAGGCCCTGGCCCACGAGCAGGAGGAGCGCGCGAAGGCCCTGGAGGCGGAGCAGCAGCAGCGGGAGGAGAGGGCAGCGGCCAAGAAAGGTCTGGGCTCGCGGGAGGGTGGGGGGCGGGGGCGCGACAGAGTAAACAGAACTGGACCTGAAGAAAAGGCCAGGGTCAGACAGCCCTGCGGCTCCCACTCGGCTGGGGCTGGGGGTGGGCGGGGCGCGGGGTGTGGGGGGGGCCGTCCGCGGAATGGGCCTGCTGACAGAGCGGCTCCCGGGCCTGTCCTAGCCAGGAGCTCTCGTTTTCTCTGAGGAGGAGACCAGTGAGCCTTCCTTCCTTCCTTCGAGAAGGGGAAGGAAGCCCGGCAGAAACACCACGGGCTCCTAACAGAGCTTTGGTTCAGAGAGCAGTTCCTCCCCCCAGTGACGCAGGAAGCCTGTCTGTGCGTCCGAACCCCCACCGGCAGGAAAGCGAGAGCTGTGCGTCTCCTGCTCAAGGCGCCTCTGCCACCGCAGGGTGTGCCCGAGCCTTCGCCTGCAGGCCCTGCGTTAGGGGGCGCGGCTGCGCTGGAGCAGCTCGGTGCCCAAGGCTGGAGCTGGGCGACCGTGTCGCCTCGCGGGCACCCTGCTCGGCCACCGCAGCTCAGGGACTTTGTGGCTCTTGCCTGCAGTCAGTGTAAACACAACGGTGTCAAGGCTGTGAGAGGTCAGGGCTGGAGGTGCCACCAAGGGCAGGGCAGTGTCACCAAGGGCTGCGACGAGACAGGCAGAGCCCGGCTAAGCAGCTTAGTCCGGCCGCGGGTGTCGGCTGCGGCCCTTCCGCCTGCGGTCGGCAGAGGACACGGGAGTGGACAGGAAGGAGCTGGGCTGGGGGCGCCGCAGCTCCCACACACTGTCTTGCATCTCCTCTCGCAGTGGGCACGGAAGTGTGCAATGGTGACCCGGCACCCAAGTCCTCGACCTGCTGTGTCCTATGAGCCACTCAGCAGATCTGACAGTGCCTCATGCCCGCTTGGGCCCCACCTGTCACCACTTGGTGCAAGAGGTTATGAAGCCTGAGAGAATGAAGACAATTGTGGATGTTTGAATTTGTTTTAAGGTTTGTGTTTTTAAGCTAAAGCCAATTACAACTAACACAGTGTAGCCCACCCTACATATACACATCAGCCTTTGGATACACAGTAACACCAGGGACCTTTGAGAGTCTGTGAATGTGTCTGAAGCACAGGGTGAGAACTCTGCACATGCATTTATGTGTATATAGATAGACGGGTGGATACAGAGATGCTGTTTCCCATCTATTTTAGGAAACGATGTATGACCAGAAATTTAGAATAAAATGCAAAGAAAACAAGTTGCCCTTTCTTTCCTGTGGTGGAAACTACAGCAGTGTGCGTTGTACGTGACCAATCGTTAAGGTCTGGCATGAAGGCCAAGGCCGTGAGCAAGCGGGATCAGAGGTGCGAGCGCTGTGTGGGAGTGACCTGCCACACAGGCTCTGGGGACCGCGGAGCCGGAGGCCAGGGCAGGCCTTCCTGCGGGCGCCGGCGGCTGGGCCCTCACCGCAGCGCCCCGTGCGTCTGACGGCTTAGCGCCTGAGCCAGGAAGAAAGGCGGGTCGCCCCAAGCCGAGACGGCTACCATTTATCTGGTAGAAACAAAAGATTTTTACCTCGATGTGTGCTCCGAGCCCCTGTCCCAACACTGGAGGACTAACACCACGGGAAACGGCGTGGGTTCAGGCCAGCTGATACCAGGCCCTCCTGCATGCCCCCAGCGGGGACTGGGTGGGGGTGCAGGACACGCCCCCCAGCGCCAGGCCTCACAGGAAGGGGCATTTCAGTTCCCACCTCAGCGGTCAGGGACACCTGGTGACACAGTCCTGTGCCTGGGGCCCAGGCTCCTCCAGGTTCTCCGAGGCCCTTGGCACCAGCTGACTACTCACCTCACAGGTGAGCTAACTCAAAACCAGGGCTGTGAAGTGCAGGCACGCGGCTCCGCAGCTTCCCTCCCACTTGCACGCAAACTCACTTTACAATGAACTTGGCTGACCCCTCAGGTCCTGGGACCCAAACCCCCTGAACAGCTTCTGCAGCACCCCATCCTGGTCCTCGGGCCACGTCCCCTCCCTGGGGTCACAGGGAAGATCCATGAAGTGGGCTGGAGAGCCACAGCTCCATTCCGAGGCATCAGCCTTGCCCCCCGTTTTTGCACTGTGGGCCCCTGCCCTGCATGGCCAGTGTCTGGGCCAGGGCTCAGAGGACTGAAGGTCAAGCACCATGATGTCCAGCTGTGTCTCCGTTACGACACCCGTGGGGCTCCTACCTGGAGGCCCCAGAGAACAGGGGGTAGTTGCTGTGCTTCCCTCCCCTTCCCCACACTCTGTGTCGGTGGTAGGTGACAATCCTTCTGAAACCCGCCCCGTCTCTGCCGGGCACAGACAGAGAAGAGTAAAGGACACCCAGAGGGTCACACAACACAGGGAGCTTTATTCATGCGCACGGCTCGGGCAGAGGCTCACTTCAGGATGCTGTCGTCTCGGGCTGAAAGGGGGGAAGGAAGACTTGCGTCATTACCTGCTCGAGCAACTCAGAAGGAGCACTTCAAATCCCTGGTGTGAAACACTCCAGAGCTAGTTCCACGGAGCCCGATCTGCTCTGCCCAAGCTGCCCTGGGTGGTCCTTTTCCGGGGCATCAGAGGGCCAAGCGTGCAGCTGATGGTTACATGGCCTCTGAGGGCAGCCTGGCCAGCTTACGTCCCCAGACAGTTAACCTCCAAGGCCTAGGGGCCTGGGTCTCACCAAGGGAAAGGTGTCCCCATGTTCCCACCCCCAACCACCCACCGGGCCAGCACAGGATGAAAGGGGCTGGCCCCACCCCCCGACTGCGGGTCACTTGGAGCAGATGTTTGTCCCTGAAAGTCGATGAAAAACTAGTATGTAAGACTCAGGAACACCAATACCTTCTGCCAGTTCTCTCTCGATCCGTTTGAGTTCATCCTGCTTCTTCTTCTCCTCGGCAGCAATTCGCCTTTCCTCCTCCGCCCGGGGTTTCAGGTAACCTGGTCAGGGAGAGCAGAAAGGGAGGCGCTTCCACTGAAATGCTCCCTAAAAGCACCTTGGTCCACGCGCAATGTTACCTTCGGGTCCAGCGAGAACCCCACGCGTACCCGCCTTTAATTCCCTTTTACCTCGACGGAGGGCAAAGCCTGCCGGGCACGTCTAGCCAGAGAGCAGCGCAAGGTCCCGCCGCCCAGCACCCGCCAGCCGTCAGCAGCCCCCGAGTCCCGGGCTGCTCCCGGGGCTCCGGGTGCGCGCCTCCACCCGCCCTGCGCGCGCTGACTCCCCGGTTCACCGACGGCACAAGCCCGCGGTCACTCACTGTAGCGCTTGGCTCCGTAGGCCACGCCGAGGAACAAGGCGGAATAGCGGCAGAGCTGCAGGGAGAGGGCGGTCAGCGGCGCGGCCGGGGCCCGGGAGCAGCCCGCGGGGCGCGGTGGACGGAGAAGGGAGGTCGCGCCGCCGCCTAGGGAGCCCAGGGCGCGAGGCCAGGAGGAACGGGGTCGCACTCGCAGGGTCCCGGGCGCGGAATCGGGGGCGCGGAGCCGCGGTGGACCGAGGAGGGGCTCGGGGGCGCGGGGCAGCGGGGAAGAGATGCGGTCGCACCCGCGGGGTCGGGGTCGGGGGTCCCGAGCTCTGTCGGGTCGGACCCACGGGAGCCCACGCGGAGCTGAGGACCAGGAGGCGGCCACGAACCCTAGTTCACCTTGATGAGCGGAGAAACCTGCACCGGCGGCACCATCTTGTCCGTGACCTTCGCGCCGGAAGCACAACCCAGGGCGACGAGGCCTCGGAAAGCCTTGGAGTCGCAAAAGTGTACGGGGACAGCGCATGCGCCATCGGCGACGCGTGGGCACACTGTGGCGCCCCTGGCGGCCGGAGGGGGAACGGCGAGCGCCCGCGTAGGTTGCGTGTGACGTCACGAGACGCGCACGGTGTGCGGGGGCGCGCAGCTCGCAACCGGCTGCGCGCGCGTGATGCGGATGGAGCGAGCGGGACGGCGGCGCGGGCGTGTTCCCGGGAGGAGCAACGGGACGTCTGACGTCTCCCGGCCAAGGCGGCGCCCACGCACCGCAGGCCTAACGTGCGAGAAGTTTCAGTCGCGCTTGCAAAGTGCGCAGGGGGCGCTCTCCGCTCCGAGTCGGCCCCGTCACCCCCCGCAGTCGGGGAGGAGCCGAGCCGCCCTACTCGAGGGTCCCCCGCCGAGGTCAGACCCGAGAACGGCCCGGGGCGGGGGCCCGGGGTCGGGCGCCCCTGGCCCCCAGGCCCCTCGGACGGTGCCGGTGGGTCCCACGGCGGAGCTGGAGCGCCCGCATCCCAGGGGTCCCCCGGAAAGACGACCCCCAGCAGAGCCGGCTCCCTGGGCCTCGCCGGCTCCTGCCCTGGGGATCCTGCAGTCCAAGTTCCTAGGTCCTCCTCGACCTGGGCCTCAAGGGCCACGGGCCCCCAGACCTCAGGTGCAGAAGGGAGGAGTGCACGGCCGGCGCAGAGGCCCCACACCCCGGGCCCGGAATAAGCCCTCCCTCACGGCCCCTGCTCCCCCTCGGAGCCACCCCTGCCTCCCTCAGCTCAGGTCAGCTCTGCTGGAACCCGGCCAGGCCAGGCCCAGTGTACAGAGGGGCCGCCTAGAAATGGGGCAGCGGTGGCCCGGCCGCCTCCCCAGCTTGCCAGCGCGTGGTGCCCAGGCACGGGGCTCAGGGCGCAGCGGGTAGATTCTCCAGCCTCGGTGGAGTTGCTTTGGGAGAAGCTCCGTGAGAACAAGGGCTTGGGACTCACTAGGGTCCCTGCTCGGGGTTGGGGGGGCACCTCTCCTTACTCTTCACCAAACCCACATGTTTCAGAAGAAAACTGGGCTGAACCTGAAGAGCATGGAGTGTGGGCACAGTTGGCCCAGTGAGTCTGCAGGGGCGAAGGGGAGGACCCCCTCCGGGAGCCTGGGCAGGGCCTGCGCCCATCCGCTGACCCCGCAGGCCCAGCTCCGGGCCTCCCGGCCGCACCACCGGAAACACCTGCGCTGTTCCCTGGGCCGGAGAGGCACCTGGAGGACGGTCCTCTAGGCTATGGGCCCTTCCCTGGGTGGAGAGCGCGGCCTCCGTGGCCCTCTCCGTGCTCCCTGAGGACGATGTGTGCACACTGACCCCACGCGCCGCAACACAAACTCCCCGTGCCCACGGGACAGGCTGCGTGGCCCCGCTGGGTGTTCACACACAGCACGGTGCCCTTGAGCAGCTGGGCACATGACCTCAGGTGACAAATGTCTTTGCCCTTCCCTGAATTTTAAAATAAACCAGACTCCTCTGCAACTCTTGCTTCCAGAATCAAAAATAAGTGTCTCCGGGGCTGAGGGTAGGGCCAGGCCAGAGCCCCGGTGGAGACCACACACCAGCAGCTCTCACCACACGGGAGGTGGCAGCCGCTGTGGGGGGCGGCGGGGGGTGGCACACACTCAGGCCCGCCCACAGCACCACCCAGGAAGGCCCCTGAAGGGGGGGGGCATACACCTTGGTCCAGGCCCTGGAAGGTGTAACGTGCTCCCACCTGGCTCAGGACCCCAGGACTGCCAGCTGACTCCCCACACCTGTCAGGGCCAGCTGTCCGTGTCGAGTCCCAACATCCTCCCAGAAGCTAGGCTGCACAGCTATCTTTAGTGCGGCCCCAGACCCCGGCCGGCCCAGGAACCCTCCCCGGGGACCCTGCAGGAACTTCCTGGCCTCTGCTTCAGGGCCTGTGGCACAGACCCACGCACCTTCCCCTCTGCATGCAGCCCCCACTCCTGCAGCCCACCAGGCCCTCCCAGGCCCAGCCAGACCCCACCCCGCGGGGCGGGAGGCCCTGCTCACAAGCAGCCCAGGCCCAGGGCTCCCACCTCAGGCCCGTGTTCTCCCCGGGGGTCCTCTAGGAAGAGCCCCCCCGCCCTGCTCGCCCCTGCAGGTGGATGACCTGTCCCCAGGCTCCTCGGGGGGCCGGCCGCCCCACACTCACTGGAGGGCCTAGCCCACTGGGGCATGGGCTCAGAGATGGGCCACAGGGACAGCCCCCCAGTGACTGCGGTGCCACAGGCCCCCCAACGCCCTCACCGACTCCCCGCTCACCGAGGGCTGCGGCCGCTGCCCACCCCACCCCGGACCAGTGCTTCCAGCCTCTGACTTTGTGGGCGCAGGCTCCCACAGGGCGGTGGTGGGGCAGGGAGGCTTAGTGCAGGCTCCGGCCCTCATCCCCTCTGGCACGCCTGTAGTGGGGGCAGGGGAGCGGTCCCAGTGCCAGGACTGGAGGCCTGGGGCTTCTCCGCCACCAAAGCAGGGAAGTGAGGGCACACAGGACATACTTGGGGGGCGTTTGGTGACTGGCCACTAGGTCCGCTTACAGGGACCTTGTGCAAATCTGGGGAAAGTGCCTTCGTTCTGGCTCCTGCAGCCCCCAGGTCCTCAGCCCACATGCATGTGGCCGGGAGGTGTGCAGGATCCACGGCCACAAGGGCCCTGAGTGTGGGCTGGTGGGAGGTGCCGGGAGAGTTGGGGGCCCTGCAGGCTCTGGCTGGACTGCAGGCCTGGCCGGGCCGAGTTCAAGGGGAACCCCGTGCGCTGTGAGGTCAGGGCCTCCTCAGGACCCTGCACTCACCGAGATCCTGCAGCTGCCCCAGCCTGGGCCCCAGGACCCAAGTGTCAGGGTCCACCCACCCTCTGCATAAGCCCCCCAACCCCTGGGCTGGGGCCCCTGAGCCTCAGGGCTCTCGTCACAGGCCAGCGGAGAGACCAAGAAAAGGTGGGGGGTGGGGGCCTGTGGGCCCAGAGGGCGGCCTCCGATGTCTCTCCAACTCTGAGCAGACCCAGATCCGGGAGTTCAGGGAGCTGAGGCTCTGCTCTGGCCGAGAGCCCCTGACCCAGGGGGGCCCTGGAACCCCTAACACAGGCCCCTGGGAGACCCCGCATGAGCCTCCCCCCTGAGCCAATAAGACTGGGCGCCAGTGCTCACGCGGGCATCCGTCCCAGCCTTCAGGCTGGCGGGTCAGAACCGAGACGGTTTCATCGACAAGGAGGACCCGAAGGACATGTATGCCCCCCTGCGTGGGTGTCCAGGCAGGACTCCATCACGGCCCCCCGCCCGCCCCGGCCTGCGCCCACGGGCTGCAGCAACGGGGCTGGCGGGGCGTCCTCAGGGCCCGTGGGGAGGGGCAGCCCAGGCAGGGGAGGGCCTGCCCCCCACCCCCATCTGCAGCACGCTCTCCCCAGCCGGAGGGGGCCCTGCCCTTGGAGTGGGGGGGGGGGCGGAACAGGCTGGTTTCCCTGGGGCAGGGGAATTCGCACAGACCCGCCTTCCCTCTGGGCCCCCTGATGGCCAGGTAAACAGGTCACAGACCTTCCCAGCTCCATGTGGCCTCCTGTTCCCACTCCTGGGCAGCCCGCCTGCCAGGGCTCGGGGTTTTGCCGACATGCTGAACCTGCACCCCTCACACCTGGGCGGGGCAGGCCTCCATCGGCTGGCCTCCAGGCCCCCCCAACCCCGTCTCCTCCGCTTTGCTCTGGGGTCACCAGGAGAGCCATGGAGGTGGGCGGCCCTGTGTGGCACCTGCCAGCAGCGTGCCACCCGGTAACTGCGCCCGCACCAGGCAGGACCGGTGTGCGCCGTGCTCCTCCGGCCCGTCCGCTACGCCGCCTTCCCCGACATGTTCGGGGAGCTCAGCAGCGAGTCCTCTGGCTGCCAGCCAGCACGCATTCACTTAGAAATGTGTTTATTTAGGAATGCAGACGTTCCATATAAAAACCCAAATTTTCAGATCTCGTGGAAAACCCTAGGACCTGGCACGTGTGCCCTTCCCCACATCTCGCACGCCCCCCCCCAGCCTGCGAGCTGACACTCGGCCCCGGCCCCCGTCCGTGGCTGGTGGCCCTGCTGGCCCGTCTCTGGCACTGGGGGACCCGGGGGACCCTGAACGGAGCCTTCCAGGGCAGGAGCCGCAGGGCGCCCAGGTGCCCGGGGGCAGGAGGGCCCCTCGGGCTGATAGCGGAGTGGAGGGCGCACGGGCGGCCGGAGTCTCCGTGGGCAGGAACGGATGCCGAGGAGGCCATCCCGAAGACCAGCCTTGAAGACGTCGGACCCCGGAGGCGAAGGCAGCATCAACCAGGATGAGTGCGCATGCCGCAGGCTCTGATGGGCTGGAGCCCACGCCCTGCCCAGCTTCCCCCACGACCCCAAGTCCCTCAAAATAACGGAGGGCAAACCTGCCCTGCCCCCGCGGCCAGCGCTGCGTCTGGGGCTCCCCGGGCCGAGCCCTGGAGAGGGGTCCGCCTGCCGGGCGCTTGCCTCCCTTCGCCGCCGCCTCCGCCCCACAGGGACGGTGACCCCGCGTGTGTATCAGGAGAGGCTCCCAGTGTTCAGTGCTCCCGGAGCATGGCCCCCATGAGCCCGCCCACCAGGCATCCCTACCCCGTGGACGAGCGTGGCGTGAGCGGTCCCAGGCCGCGGGCCCCTGCCCCTGTCCGGCGGACCTGTGCTGACCCTTTCTTCGGGGCAGCTCACTCGGGCCCCTCTGCTTGTCCTCAGCATCAAGCGGCTGCTCCTGCCCCAGGCAGACAGGATGACTGCGGAGGAGGGTCGGCCCTGCGGCCCCCACCCGCGCCTTCTCCCGTGGCCCCCGGGACGCCAGGGCTCTGCTGGGGGCGCCCCGGCCAGGAGGCGCTGCGGCATCGGTGTGGGTGGGACGCCCGGTGGCCGAGCGCCGCTCACCCCACCCGGGGCGGAAACCAGGTGGGGCCGCAGCCCTGAGGGGCCCTCCTGCTCGTCCCCTCCTGCCGGGGCCTGACCCCTGACACCCTGCCTGCAGGTCGACCAGATGTCCCAGTTCGAGGCTGCAGGCAACCTGGACTACAAGGCACTGAGCTAGTGCTCACCCACGGGGAGGGGGAGGAGGAGGGAGGGGTGTCCCCGCTCCCACCCGGGCTGTGGCCAGCTCCCTAACCCTGAACCCACGAACCTGCCTGCCAGTGTCTGTAGGGAAGGGGCCTCGTCCGGCAGGGCAGGGGAGCCTGGGGGACACACGCCCATGGGGCCTGCCCGTCTGCCAGCACCCAGGCGGGGGTCTGGTCGGTCACTCAGTGACCAAGGCTGAGGGAGGCTCTGGGAGGGGCTCCTTCAGGGAAGGCCCCCGCCCCGTGCACTCCAGACGCAGACGCCTGGGGCCCTCAGGAGCCCCAGCCTGTCCAGCTGCCTATCAGCCAGGTCCCCACACGCTGCTTGTGCCAGCTGCTGCTGACCCGGCGTGGCCACTGGGCCACCCTGCCGTGCCCAGGCCCCGGTGACCGGAGCCTCCCCCTCCAGCGCCCTCCACACCCCCAGGCCGGCTTCTCAGGCCCCGCAAGGGCCGGAGACGCTCTAGGGATGAGCTGCCCCCGGGCTTCCTGGAGCTTCCATGCTGGGGCCGTCGGGAAGCCCAGGCAGGGCCTCAGGGTGGGTCTGCGGTGGGGGTGTGCTGTCCCGGTGGCAAGGGCTGGAGCTGGCCTCGGCCTGCAGGCGCCGGTACGGGGTGTGGAAGAGCAGCACCAAGCAGCAGCTGAAGAGGGTGCACAGGCCGGCCATCAGCAGCATGGGCACTGGGGGGACACAGCCAGCTCTGCCAGGGCTCACCGCACAGCGCCGGCGGCCAGCTGACCCGCCTCAGGTGAGCGGGAGAGCAACCCAGGAACGGCCCCTCTGGTGGCCACGCCCACTCCCATCTCTGTCTGTCTGTCTCTTTCTCTCTCATCTATTTTTCTGGCTTCATTTTCAGTGACTCACACAGGGTTTAGAGGTTGGGCTCTGTAAAGGTCTCGGGGCTGCTCCCACCATGCTAAGCTGGGGGCTCTGCCTGTTGACCTCTGACCCCCGCCTGGTGGGAGCCCAGCACCCACCCACCAAGGACAGCAATAGGGCGGGTGCAGGGAGGCCCCCAGGGCTGCAGTGGGTGGGGGCCCAGGCCCCGCCCTCCTCACCGGGGCTCCTGCTGGGGTCTCCCGAGGGCCCGGACACTCACCCTCCCAGTCCAGGAGGCCCTGGTCCCCTTGGCAGGTGGAGAAGCCCGGCTTCGCGCGGCGCACGGCCAGGGCGGTCAGCAGCAGCATGATGAGCAAGCCCTCCACCTGCCTGGACAGCCACGCGGCCCTCAGCCCAGCCGGATGCCGCCGCCTGCCCCAGTGCCGCACGCCCGCCCAGGCTGCCCGCAGCAGGCGCTCAGACCACGCCCGCCTTGCTGGGGCAGGCGTCCCCGCTGGGTGGCCTGGGATGCACGAGGACAGGGTTGGGGGGTCCCCGGGGGGACGACAGGGGACTCACACTCACCCCAGCACGAAAACCAGGCCGGCGGCGGCGCCCTCCCCCACGGGGAAGGAGCACTCCACCGCCAGCTCCATGGCGACGGGCGCCGCCGAGAAGCCCAAGAGCCCGAGCAGGGAGCAGATGGCGGCCAGCGCGACGGCCTGGCCCCGCCGCTGGGACACCTGGGCGCAAGGTGCACGGGGCCGGCGGTCAGACACACCCTGGCTCTGGACGCAGGCTGCCGGGCCCGCACCAGCACCCCCTGGCTGAACAGGGCGGGCGTCGGGCACAGCTGTGCCAGGGCCCCCCCCCCCCCAGGACAGGGCCCGCGCGGCTGTTCTGGCCGGGCCGCAGCCGCCGCCCCAGAGCCGTAGTCTCGGCTGCAGGGGGCACTCACCAGGGCAAAGGCCACGCAGACCAAAGAGGTCAGGCAGAAGCCGACCTTGACGGCTTCCGTGAAATGCTTGGTCCGGTCCACGTACAGGCCGAGGCCCAGCGCCCCCAGGATCCCAAACACTATGAAGAGAGCCCCGCAGAGGCCCGCGAACTCCTGGGGAGGCGGGTGGCAGTGACCGTCCTTAGGGCGCAGGCTGTCACAGGGCACAGGGCCGCCGTGCGCTGAGGCGCCAGCAGGACCCAGGGCACGGGGGCAGGGCAGGGGGCACAGAGCCCGGGGGCGCCCCTCCCCTGTGTGCTGCCCCCCTGGGTCTCACCGACGGCTGGCGGGGGGACCTGGTGCCTGCACACACCGCGCCCCCATCCCTGTGCCCCGCACCCCACTCGCAGGGCCAATGCCAGACAGCAGAGCGCACAGCCAGAGGTGCTGTGAGCAGGCCACGGCCCTTCCCTCAGCAGGCCCCGTATCGGGGGACCCTGGCCCAGGGCCGCCGGGCCGCCGTCCTGGGTGGGGCACTGGGACAGAGGGAAAGTCCAGTGCCCGAGGGGCCCGCCCTCCCCACGGCCCCAGCCCACCAGACGCTCCTCACACGCGGCAGCTCCACAGTGCCCGCAAGGGGAGGCCGCCCTGAGCGAGCGGGGAGATCCAGGGCGTGGGGAGGCCCGGGCCTGGGGCCGCAGGGGCACCCCGCCTGCAGGGGCGGCTCCCAAAGCCGCGCGGGCACTCACGTTGGAGTAGCCTTCCACACAGAGCACCTGCTCCAGGAGGGCCGAGAAGCTGGAGAAGATGCCGACGCCACCCCCGAAGCACACGGCCAGGATGACGTAGGCCTTGTTCCTCAGGAGCTGGAGGGGAGGGGCTCCTCAGCCGGGGGCGCAGGACGCAGGACGACAGGAACTTCCCCCTCCCCACACCCCCCTGCCCCGCCCCTCCCTGCCCCCAGGCCCTCCCCAGCCCTGGCCCCGTGGCACCAACCAGCTTCAGCCCGTCCAGGAACCCCTCCGAGGTGGACTGGGCCGCCCCCGCGGAGGGCGGGGTGGGGGGCACGCTCTCCCAGAGGCAGGCGGTGGCCAGCAGGCAGGCGAGGCCGGCGGGGACCATGTAGATGCCCAGCTGCGGGAAGGCGTGCAGCAGGCTCGTGTGTGCACAGGCAGATCCCGCGGCGCCAGCGCTGGCTCCGGGGCCCAGCGCCCGCCACCCCGGGCGGACGTCAGGGAGCCTGCACCGCAGTGGGCCCACTCGGCTCCGCACCCTGGGACCCAGCTTCCAAAGTGTCGCCCAGGGACGGCTACACAGGGACAGCCCCGGCTCCGCCCCTCCCGCAGCTCGGAGCACCGCCCCACGGCCCTCTGGACCCCCCTTCCCGCCCCGGGAGTGTCCCCTGCGGCTCCCGTGGTCCCTCCCCGTGGTCCCTCCCCGTTCCTCGAGCCCTCCGCCCCAGCCTGCCCCACTCCCCGACCTGAGCAAAGCTCCAACTCCAGGGGGCCCGGCACCAGCCCGCCCTCCCCAGGTGCAGCCCCACCCTCAACGCCCACCCGCCTCCGGCCTCTCCGCTGTCCCTCCTCTTCCCGCGGCCCTCCCGCGCACTGCTCCAGCCGCCCCCACCTCGCCGAGGCCTCTCCCCACAAGGAAACCACCTGCCACTGAGAAAGCGCCGGCCCTCGCACTCAGAGAACTCCTGTGCGCACGACAGGGGGCGGGCGCACACTCGCACACAGGCGTGGACGCGCTCATGCCCACTAGGACCCGCCACGCATGATTGCGCAAGGCGCACGCCACGCACAATACATGCATGCATGCAACGCAAACTTACATGCATGTGCACACAGCACATGCAAACTCGCATGCGCCTGTGGGGCTGTACGGCGCCGCGCCCTCACCATCACGGGGATGTCGTCCTCCTTCTTCACCAGGGCAGGAGACAGCAGGTTGGCCACCAGGACACCCAGGGGATTTGCTGGACGGACAGACAGAGCACACCGCAGGTCGGCCACCGGCGGAGCCCTCTGCCCCCCAGGACCGCGCACGGGGCGGGCGGGGAGACCGGGGCCCCGCCCCTCGACGCACCCATGGTGCCGATCATGTTGGCCGTGGCGCGCTGGTGCTCCGGGAACCACAGGGCGGCCAGCTTGGCCGGAGAGAAGATGACCAGGCTCTGCGCCAGAGCACAGAGGCTCTGGCCCCCCAGGAGGAAGGCAAACGGCTCCGAGGCCCGGAAGGGCATGCAGGGCAGGGCGCGGAAGACGCTCCCGACAAAGTTCAGCCAGGCGCCCAGGACGGTCTGCAAGGGGGAGGTTGGGGGCTCGGAGGGCCAGCCCACGCCCTTCTGGCAGGCCCCAATGGCTCTGCCTGGGGACCCCAGCCTGGGGGGTGGGCGATGGCGCCCCAGCCCACGCTTGGGGGCCCCACCCCATCCCGGAGCAGGCCCCCGCATGGGTCTGACTCACCGCCCAGCGGAGCCCGACTGAGTCCAGGACCCAAATGGCCGCCAGGCCAAATGGGATGGACACCACAAAGTAGACCAGCGAGAGCCAGTTGACCTGCTGGGCGGACAGGCGGAAGTGCCGGGCGATGGTGTCGGCCACGGGCGCGAAGCTGAGCCACAGCTGTGGGACACACGCCAGCGTCAGCGCAGGGGCCGGAGCCACAGGCACCGCAGCCTCCCGCTGCGCTGGGCTGGCCAGCGGCCTGAGAAAAGGAAGTGTCCTGCCGTCCAGTAATGGCCAGGGTCTTCTCCTGGCCACCCCCAAGGAAGGTTGCCGGGTGGAAAGGGCCAAACAGCATGCCCAGCCTGCGGACAGCGCCGTCCTTGCGGGCTTGGTCCTGGGGGCAGAAGGGGGCCGGAGCCTGGACAGAGCCTGTGGGACCATGGGCCCCGCCAGGGCTGACCTGCCAAGGAAGAGGCCCGAGCGCTATCAGTAGGAGGTGGGGTCTGCGGGCGGCGCACTGTGTGGCAGGTGGGCGCTGGGCGTGGCTGAGCACAGAGCTGGCTGAAGCGCCGGGATCAGGGAGCCGGCGGCCCTGGCCCCGGGTGCGCGGCCATGCCAGGCGGAGAGCACGTTTCAGACGACCCTCAGTGCCTGTGGTGGACACCCCCGTGGACAAGGGCAGGAGGCAGGGTGGACCAAGAGCCACGGACGGGCATAGTGGAAGAGGCCATGGGCGGGCGACGGGGAGGAGGAGGCAGAGACAGCCCAAAACACACCTCCAAGCCTGTCTGCAAACTCAGTCCCAGGTGAAACCCCTGGGCTGGGGTGGGGGGCCCTGCCCGAGGCCCCCCAGGAGACCGAGTGTTGGGAGGTGAGAAAGCCAGAGACATGTTCCAGCTGCAGGTGCCATCTCGGCTGGGCCCCCTGACTCGGCAGGCCTCCGGGCACCAGTGGGTGTGGCTGGGTCAGCCCGGAAGGCTTCCTGGAGGAAGTGGGACACCGCCTGGCCCCTGGGGGGTTGCTGGGAAGACAGGAGAGAAGGGGCCCTCCAAGGCTCACTGCAGGGGCAGTGGGGAGGTGGGCCAACGACCAGGCCGAGCCTGTCACAAGTCCAGGTGCATGATGCCCCTCCTCGGAGAGGACCTGGGGGCTGGGCCCAGCCCACCCTCCTCAGCACAAGCGGCAGACCCAGGTTTCCTGGGTGAGAGCTCTGGTCACAGGCTCCCACGTGATGGCGAGCTTTGGCAACAGCTGCTTTTTCTTCCTTCTTTAAAAGACAGAACAGGGACGGATCTCCCTGGGGACAGAAAGGGTGCCCAGGCAGGCCTAGAAGCCTCCTGCGCAGCCTGGTCCAGCACAGGGCACCCGGTGTCTGTCTTCCAGACCCACCCTGCAGAGCGGAGCCTGCCCCTCGCTGGCCTTGCCCTCCCCGGGCCCCTCCCCAGTGCTCGTGGCCGACAGAGCAGGCGACGGTCCTGCTGCCGACCGTAGCGTGTCTTTACGTGATCGCAGGGCAGCCAGGCGCTGCCCAGCCAGGCCCTGTGGTTCTGTGGGAGGCTGGGGCGTCGCACCCCGGCCGCCCAAGCATAATGGGAGGCGAGGCGCCAGGTGGCCCGGGGCGGCCCGTGGGCACGCAGCCTGGCCCACGAGCAGGTGGCCGCTCGAGGGGCGGGGCGGAAGGGTGGCTCCGAGTCCCTGGAGCCCTGGGGAACAGGTTCCCCAGGACCGCAGGCTTGGCACGCGGGTTATTTTGAGCTGAAGGCCATGGAGTCCCTGCAGGCTCACAAGAAACTTACTTCTCCTTTAAAGCACTTAGACTCGGGGCCTTGCCCGTGATTAGCTGCCACCAGAAATAACTTTACATCCTGTCTATCAGGCTGAGCTCACTTCCCACCGCTCGGCAGCTGCTCCTCTGATCGCCCCGCAGCGACCTTCCTCCGGCCGACAACCCCAGGCGCCTGACCTCGCCCTGGGCTCAGAGAGCCCTCCACGCCTCTTCTCTCTGTCTCTGGCTCTCCCCTGGGTGTGGGGTTCCACCCGGAGCCGCATATGTGATTAAATAAGATCATTTTATCTTGTTCATCTGCCTCGTGTCAATTTGGCTACTGGACCAGCTGGAGGAACCCAGACGGGTAGAAGAAGGATGTTTTTCTCCCCCACGTGCCCTTCCGCTCAAGTGCAGTAGACGCCTGTTCCAGGGACCCGCGGAGGGCCCAGCTGGGGCCGTGAAGGTAGAGAAAGGGCCGCCCACTGAGCCTACCTGGGCCAGACGGCCTCCGGGTAGAGCAATGTGGGGCTCGGGGGTGAGTCTGGGGAAGGAGAAGGTGGAGGGGCTGTGTGCCAGGAGCTGGCTGACCGGCTTTCACTGGCCTGGGCTCTGGGGCCGAGTCCCTGCCAGCAGTGGGGACAGCTCTAGAACAGGCGGTGGAGTCGCTGCAGACTCCAGCCGGGGAGCTAGGGAGGAGGGCAGCCAGTAAGGACGGCCTTTGAGGGACCTCCGAACTGAAATGGAATCCCAGGCGGGCACAGGTAACAGGGGAGGGTCTCTGCCCTGGCGGTCCCAAAGGCCTGTCCCATGCCTGGGGTTTCCTCACAGGGTGTGGGGACATCTGGAGGGTGCCTTCCATCTGCCCACAGAGACTCCTACACCATCCTGTCGCAGGAGGGGGATACTTTGGAAACCACCATAGATGACGGCACCTGGGCGCAGCCGGCAAAGACAGCAGCCCCTTTCTCCCCGCACAGCCACCGTCGGAAGGGGCTCCCGCCCCGCCACCCCCGCCCCTGCGGGCCTACTGTCCCTTCGCAGAATCGAGCCCCGGAGCCGAAGCGCGCCCAGGGGGCACTGAGGCATCGGAGGGGGCGAATAGGGGCTCCGCGTGCGTCCCGGCCTCGGCCCCCGCCCCGTCGCAAGAGCCCCCCCCGCCCCGCCCAGGAGCCGCCGCCTGTACCATGGCATTGGAGCAGCTGAGCAGACTGACCACCAGCAGGAAGACCCAGCGGCGCGCGTAGGAGCGGTAGGCCAGCAGCGCGCCCAGGGACGGGGACGCGGCGGCCCACTGCGCGTCCCCCGCCGGCCCTGCCATCTCCTACCGGGCCTCCGGCTCGAGGGGCGGTCCGGGGGCGGGACCGCCCTGGGAGGTGGGGCCGGGCGCGCGGGGCGGGACCTCCAGATCAGTCCCAGCCCAAGGGGCAGAGGTCACAGCCCTGCCGAGAAGGAAAGGGGCCCGTGGCGAAGCCGCCCCGGCCCCCAGGGCCACGGTGGGAGTGTCTGCCACAAAGAAGGGACAGTCCTCCCGCAGGGGCCAAACCGGTCCCGGCCGCTGGGTGGTTCCCGCTGCGGACAAGCCCACAGGGGTGCCCGCGGAGGGCGCGCCGCTGGGCCCGAGACGGGGACGCACGTCCCGACGCGGGTATGGAAAGTGCACTTCCGCGCCCTCACCCCCTATTCCAAACGAGTCCCGGAGGCCAGCCTGGAAGAGGCGGCTGAGTCCGTTTTCAGCAGGCACGGGAACGAGGGGCGGAGGCAGAGGAGGCGCTGGTGCGGGGGCCAGGCGGGCCGGCGCCGGACCTGGGTCGGCGGGGAAGGAGGACTGCGGTTTCTTATCCGCAAGTCACAGCCGAGGACACCGCCGAGGCAGAGGAGCGGGTTTCCGTCTGTGCCAGAGACCTCAGGGCTGGAAGGCAGAGAGGTGGGACTGTCAGCTCGTAGCTGAGGGCGGCGTCTCTCCGCCAGCTTCGTCCCCACCCGCCGCCCACCTAGGACCTGTCTGCTTCCCGAGGTCCTCTGTGTGGGGCTAGCGGAAGCGGACGCGGCCTGGCCGCAGGTCGCCGCCTGGGACTGTCCTGCTCCGCCGCGGGGCCTCCCCGCAGCCTAGGGCTCCTCCGTGGAGCGCGAACTCGCAGGGCGGCAGACAATCCGTGGCGTTTCCAGACACCAGCCGCGGCACACGGGAACCAAAGCTAAAGACACACTCCATTCACAGTCCATTCAGAGAAAATTACGTCCTTGTATATGAAGTTAGCGAAATGTACACAGGACTGGATGCTAAAAATTCCGCAACAAAAATCTTAAAAATGGAGGCACACCGTGCTCATGGATTGGAATGTCCAACCTGGTCACACTGGACAAAGGGTTTAATACAATTCCTAACAAGAGGATTTTTGTAGGCACAGACTGGAGAAAACATTTGCAAACCGCATACCCAGCAAAGGATTGGTGGTACCTTGAAGATATAAAAAGGCCTCGAACCTCAGCAGTAAAAAACAACAACAAACAAGTCGAATTGGAAACTGGCCACGCCCAGGTTGGGGTGGCTCCGCTGGACGGAGCGAGGTCCCGGAGCCGGGAGGAAGAGTCGCAGGTTTGATTCCTGGCCAGGACACACGCAGGCTGCGATTCCATCCCCACATCGGGGCTCCCGTGAGAAGGCAACCGGCTGGTCCGTTTCCTCTCTCGCTGCCCCTCACACCTCTCTCTCTAAAAAAGCAATGAAAAAATATCCTTGGGTGAGCCTTAGAAAAGAGAAAATGGGCGAAAGACATAAAGAGACACAGCACTGAAGAGGATATACAGAGGGCACATAGTGACAAATGGCTAACATCACCAGCCTTGAGGAAAACGCAAATTCAAACCACGATCAGACAGGACCCCACACCTTTGAGAATGGCTACAATACAGACACCGACATCAAATGCTGGCGAGGCCGTGGGTAACTCGGTCGCGGATGCCGGTTGCTGTTAAGATTGTAAACTCTTACAGACACCGTGGAAAAACAATTCTTAAAATTCACATAACATGGAAAGTACATTCATTTGGGAACAATGACTTTTTCTACTTTCGGTGACACTGTTCTATTTAAATTCTGAACGAGTATCTTCAACGCAAGCGCCTAAGCGGCTCGGGTGCGGAGCGCCCGCCCAGCACCACCCACGAGGCCGCGCCGAGCCCAGGGCCGCGTGCTGAGGTGGGTTGGGGACCTCCCCACGAAAACACCCACGTGGCGTTTACCCAGCTGTCTCTAAAGGCTTTTTACAGTAACATTCAGTGCACACAATCGTGACTAAATCTGTTTCCATTTCTTTACCTCCTTTTTACTCAACCAAACATAGACTCCAATCGGCACCCCAAACTAGCGCCCACGGAGGTTCTGTCCGGCTGCTGTGTCTTCCCTGAACAGGATTTGCTCAGAACGAAGCAGCTGAGAGCCGTCGCTTTGCCAAGGCTGGCGCACAGGCGACGCCTTCTTTGCTGAGGACAACGTCAGGGGGGAACCTCACCTCAGAGGGGAGGCAGTGGCGCCACCCTGTTTGTTGGCTTTCGCACGAGTTTCCTCTGCTCTGGTCGAGAGACCATCGGTGACGTGGGGGCAGGAGCCAGGTGCGTCTGCGCCCCGCCCCCCGCCCCGTGCCAGGAGCCTGCACGTGCCTGTGGCTGAGAATAGAAGCGCCGGGGGCTGCAGGTGACCCTCTGCCTTTCGCCCTGTGTCCCCCACGGGCTGCCTAGCAGGTTCTCCACAGGTGACCCCTTCCCCCCATGCACATCCTGGGCCCGGCCCCAGGAGGCCCCCCACGCGCCGGCCTCCAGGCTGTCTCCTGTGCCCACCGTGCTGCTGGCCTCCCAGGCACGGCTGCCGGCAGCCCGCACTGCCCCACACTGCCCACGGCGGGAAGCTGAGCAGGCCGGTCAGACCCTGGACCCTCAGGCTCCTCCGAGAGGACCGGGACGCCCGCCTCGTCCCTACGGAAGGTCAGTCAGGGGCTGGCGCACGGAAAGCAGGCATGTGGCCGGCAGGCAGCCACGAAGACTGCTCTGCTCACGGCGGTCTGCTCTCCCCGCCAGGGAGAGGCCCTCGGGGGCGCGCCTCCTCTGCCTCCCGCAGCATCGCTGGGGAAAGACCAGCACAGGGGCTCCCACACACCCCAAAGCCGCGTTGAGCACCTGGCGCCCAGATCGCTGGCCTGGCCCCTCCCACCAAGGACCCCACAGTCCCGTTCCGCGTTCAGCCTGTGAACGGGGAAGGAGCTGGTTTGCTCACCTTTGTGCGTGGGTGTGTGGTGTGCAGTGAGAGATGGGCGTGGGGCCCGGACTATCTGGGGTGTGTCTCTGAGACAGAGCGCGCGGGGGCGGCGGGAGCGGCGTCTGACCTTGTGCGTGCAGGTCCTGGTGGCCACCTGTTTGTGCATGTGTGTCTGCCGTGAGTGGGTGACTGACGTGTTATGCAAGGTTGTGTGGGGTATTGGCATTATGGCATGAGACAGGTCTCTGCCCTTTGCGTACGTGTGGGTGAAATGGTCACCTGATTCCTCTCTCTGAGTGGGAAAGAGCGTGTGCCTAATTCCTCGGTGTGTAGTGCGCGAACCGTGTTTGCTGTGTGTGTGTCGGATGTGAAATGAGCGTGTTAAATCAGAATCTGAAGGGCGTGAGACTTCACACTATCGTAAGCCAGGGAGGTAACCCACCACGTCCCCATGTCCCTGCATGTTCGTTCCCGGGACACGCGACGCAGGGCCCGACGCAGCCACGCCTGCACCTGGGTCCTCCAGCCCGGCCCCGGGTGTGGGCTGCACCGGCCCCTGCCGCGCAGTGCAGTTCAGAAGGAGAGCCTCGATACCGAGAAACTCACCCGCCCACCTTCTGCAGAGAGGAAACCTCTCTTTACTCTGGATCAGAAGCAAATCTTCCCCAGGGAGGAAAAGCAGGGGGCATTTTCCTGTCTCCCCTGGACCATCTCTCAGACAAACATTCTAAAGGTGGCTGTGCGTGACTTTGGACCGGGACATGCAGACACGGAAGCATGAGACATCCATGGGCAGCTGCTTCCCAGTAGGATCTGTTTTTTAAGAATATTTCAAGGTGGGTATCCTTTATTTTTGCCTGTGAATTTGTCATGATGAATCCTCTAGCGTAGTCCTCTGAGGAGGGAAGTTGGCATCGTGTGCCTGACATGAGTGTCTCCTTTTGTAAAGTGAGAGGATCTATGTTCTCTATATGGTTGAAATTAGTATCTCATTTTTCTGTCTGTGGGATGGCATGAAATTTTACATACGGTATGAGATAGTTACCAGGTTTTCCTGGTAGGTACTGGAAATGCGTGTCTACATTTCCTGGGCGTGGAGTGATATGTAACCATTTGCGTACGTGTGCTGTAAGTCGAAGATCTAATACTTTGTATATGGTATCAAATAGATACCTCATTTTTGACGTGTAAGGTGGGAGAGGGTATATAACCTTTCATTTTTGTGTTTTTGAGATAAATATCTGTTTTCTGTGTGGTGTGAGATCGTTACTTGCGTATACACATGCGTATTTATGGTGTGAGTTAGTTATCTAATTTTATATTTTTCCCATGGGGAAAACCATGCAGCACTTCCATTTTCATCTGTTCTAAGCATTTTGTAGTTTCTTTGTAACAAAGGCTTTATGAAGTATAATTCTCACATCATACAACTCACCCATGACGTGTGTACACGTCATTAGATTTCAGTGTACTTACAGATGTGTGCAACCATGACTACGATCAATTCCAAACTGTTCCATCGCCCAGCGCGGCCTTGCGCCCAGTGGCGGGGCTGCCCACCCTCCCTTCCAGCTCCTGGCCAGCGCGAGTCTGCGCTCTGCCTCCTGGGATTTGTGATTCTGGACATGTCATGTAAATTGAATCATAGCACTGTTTGTGACTGCTTTCTTTCCTGAGCTTAATGTTTTCAAGGTCATCCATGTTGTACTGTGCATGTGTCTGGCGTGAAATGAGCGTGTTAAATCAGAAAGAATTTTTTTTTTTTTTTGCCAAATAATACTTCATTTTACGGATCCACATTTTACTTATCCATTTGTCAGCTGACCTGTGAGTTGCTTCCATCTTAGGGCTGTCGTGGATTTTGCTACCACGCAAACTGAGTCCTGACTTTGGGTGGACGCATGTCTCTCCTTATGCCCGCACCACACTGTCTTGATTACTGTGACTTTGTAGTAATTTCTAAAGTGAGGAGCTGTCTCTGGCTGGTGTGGCTCAGTGGATTGAGCGCCGGCCTGCGAACCAAAGGGTCGCCGGTTCAATTCCCAGGCAGGGCACAGGCCTGGGTTGTGGGCCAGGTCCCC